TGTATTAGTTTTAATTTTTAATATATATTAAATTTTTGTAATATAAATTTTATTATTATAACTCAATCTTAAGTGCACCTGCACACTTACGATATGTAAAGAAGCAAAACCATACTAGATACTACTACATACTAATAGATAGTCTATAATTTAAATCTTTTTCAATTTATAGAATTACGAAAAAGCTTAATCAATGCAGAATGGAAATAAATTCTATAGATTATACATTATATGATTAAAGTCAATCTTTCAAAATACAAAAAATCGAAAAATATCGAGAGATTCTTAATATACGTATAATCGCTTTTGTAATGAAACTTGTTTCTCAAAGTTTTTAATTTTTTGTAGTTTAAGCAAATATCATTTCATGTTAAGTCTCGCGAAAAATTGTGCGTAATTTACTCCACTCATATATTGCACGATATAAGATAATTAAATAAAAATAAAAATGACACAGGCGGAAAACTTTCACATCCAAAATTATCGCGAATCGTGACATGGTACAGCGGCCGTCGGCGCTTGCCGTTGATTCCTGGAGGGATAACATTATCACGACCTGTCCGGGGTCAGGACAGGTTGTCATTCTAGACAGGAAGTTCAAAGTTGTCCGGAGGATTCGTCACCAAGAGATGATGGCGCCTCAAGGACTCGCTTTCCTGCAAGAGAATGACGAGATATATGTGACAGGTTTTGATATTTAATTCTTAATTAAGAAGAGACTGATTTTATTGCATTGTTAAATCCTTTTCCCGATAGAAACATTTTACGGAAATTATAATGAAATTATACTGAAATAGTATTGAATTACATATTGAAATCTCTATCAATTAATCTCTTACCGCGCGTTTCAAATTTTTATTAAAATTTTAATTAAAATTCAAAAACATTTATTAAAAACTAATTGTATTCAACAAATTTCATTAAAATTTTATATATGTTAAATCTCGTGAAAAGTTTTATAAAAGATTATCTCTAAAAAACAGAATTATAATTTATTATATAATGTTTACAAAGTAATAGTAGATGTATGCTACTTTTGAATTAAAGAATTGTAACGTTTATAAATAAATATTAAACATTTATATTGAGTATCACATTTTAAAGATCATTAAAAGACAATGCAAAAGTGATCTTTTGATTTTTAGTTTCAAGATATAATGTATTATATAAATAATTAATTCTTTTGAATATCTATTTATCACATACACACATAATGTTGATTTACGCACGATTTAATACCTTTCTACGATCTAATATCTTTCACAGATAAGTGGAAGCACTGCATATTCGTGTTTGACCACAAGGGCGAGCTCGTTCGTCGCATGTGTAATAAGGGCAATGGAGAATTAGAACTGCGTTCGCCGGAGGGAATCGCGTTTCATCCGGAACGAAACGTGCTTTACATCGCCGATACCGGAAACAATCGTGTCCAAGTCCTTGAGAGGAATGGCGTGTATTTAGACAGCATCGGGCCTAAGAGTAAACATGCGAAGGGCACTGTCAAATTCCGTAGAACCGGCCCGATCGCGAGCCAACTAAATCAACCGACAGACGTGGCCGTCACGATAACGCGTATCTTCGTCGCCGATTCCGGCAATCATAAAGTAAAGGTAAAATATGCCCTCGTTTGCGATTGTTGTTTATATACATATAATTTGAATATTTTCGAATTTTTCTTTTGTTTATTTTTTTTAGTAAACTATGTTCTTCCCTAAATGTTATGGTTTGAAAGTTTAATATTGTTTATGTTTGTATTGTTTATGTACATATGTACGTGATATAGGAAATATATTAAATAAAATATTTAATGTCAAAATTAAAATAATTGCACATAAAAGAAATATCTTTATATTTTATATTATCACTCTTTTTATAGACATTATCCTCGATAGAGATTCGCATAATGCGTACAATTGAAAAATAATTAAATATTTTTTAAAAAACATGGTAAATAATTAATGCATGCAAAAGTCTAAACATTATAAATTTATCGATTATCATAATCACTAATGTATTAAAAAAATTAATACTTTATAGTAAATAAAATATAATCTTTTTGTACATCATATAGATATTTGATCACGGTGGACAAATTCTTCAAACAATTGGCGACGTTGGTATAGCAAAGGGTTTGTTTAGGTTAATATAAAATTGCTATTATTGCTAACTAAGTTCATTATTATTGAGATCAGAGATCTGCTGGAGAAATAATAAATTACTCTTAATTCTCGTAGATCGCCCGAAGTATTAAGTATCGACAAGAAAGAAAACATTATCGTTGGTGACGCTGGTAATGGAAGAGTGCAGATTTTTTCTCCAAAAGGTGAATTTCTACGGATGCTAGGCGACAAAAAAACCCAGGGACATAAGTTTGCATGGGTATCTGGTATATATGTGACAAACAATTACGATATTTTAGTCTCTGATAGCAAGAATAACTTTATATATTTATTTTAATATGTATTTTGCAGTGTCTTTTCTTTTTCAAAACCCTTTTCCTTTAAAACTGTGACTCTTTTGCTGCGTTTGATTTTAACACGATTCTTTTTTTTTATAAGATATCTAAGTATCTTTAGCTTTAAAACCTTTTCGTTAAATTAATAGAAAGACTGAAAATACTGAATAAGTTTCTTGAAGATTAAAAAAAAAACAAATACATGTGTGTGACACATGCGATGTTCTTACATCTTATTATTATATAGTTCATTTATTTTCTATTAAACAAAATAAGAAAGAGTTAGTAAGAAGACAGCTATAACGCTAATTTTCGATTTCGAAAATTATTTACATCAAAAAATTAATTGTTGCCAATACATTTTAATGAATTTATTTTTTATCGTACTTACGTAGTATCCAGATCCTGAATACGCGATTTCGAAGACCGATTCGATAGATAAACAGAATCGTTAAAACGTGAATTGTAATGTTTATTTTTCCCAAACCGCGTTTCCAATCGTAGATCAAACAGATTCGCGGCGTGAGGCGCCGCTCTCTCGTCTACCCGTTTGACCAATAAATAATTTCGCAAACAAATTGATCCCCAGAGACTATAAACAGATACTTAGAGGCACGCGCTCTCGTGACCCGGCGAATGAAATGTCCTGCCATAAGCGCGATTGTAGATTGAACTGTCGGACAACAGAAAGCCGTCCGACAGTCAGACCCCTACTGTGAGAACCGAAGTGGGCCCCGCGGCGTGAAATCTCTATTATTCCGGGGGTCGGAGCGCGTACAGAACTGTTCGACGGGCACGCGTATGTACGTGCGTGCCAAGGGGGATGCACTGGCGCTGACAAGGGGTAATCGGCCGGTCCTCGCCCCTCGAAAATAATGTAATCGCGAATTAAATGTTTGCTCGGATATCGACGATCTCCTCCGAGGGGAGCCTCTCGTCCAAGGAAATCCAATCGGAAGTGGATTTGACTCTGACAACTATACGATCTTTGGAGAGATCTGTTCCTTCGTGATATGCATTTATTGTTAAATAACAGATATATTAATCGAAATGTTTGATCGTTGATTCTGTAATTTATTTTTATTGCTCTATCATGCATCTTTGATTTCTGCTATTCTTTCTCTGATATCAATAAATATAAAAATACACATGAAACACGCGATGAAATGTAAATGATAGATATAAAATAATATTACATTAAAAAAAATATAAAAACGATAAAGTAAAGTAAAGTGTGTTTAATACAGATATGAAAATATATTTATTCATATTTTATATAAGTTTGATTTGTATTTGAAATAAAAAAGTTTATATTGACAAATACATCGCGATTTGCATCAAATATGCAAATATTGCGTACAATATTGCGTGCGAATGTTACAGAAGGGGAAAAAAATAGCACAGAGAAAGAGAAAGAGAGAGAAGGAGATATTTGGAGCGAATCTCGAAGCCACGCTCTCCCTTAAACAGACGCGACAAATTGAGATAAATAATGGTTTGTGAGGATACAAAGCTCACTTGAAATTTGTCATGGTGATACTCGAAACGGCACGCTCCCAAGTAATTGCGGATCGATTGCGCGAATGAAACGATACACACTCGAGTTACATCTGGGTTTGTTACATGATTTGGCGAAATACAAGGACAAAATATTTTATTATAATTCAATGTATTCAAAACTTTATAGACCAAACTAAATTTTTCCAAAATTTATATAAAAATGATATAAGGTATTTGAAAATATATATGTTAACACAAGTTGATATTTGTTATCAAAAATTAAAGAAGAGAATTGAAAACAGTTGATTTGTTCGTCACTTTCACGTGATAAAAGACTAATCTTTTTTCCTTTTTGTGTCTAAAATAATTTTATTAATATTAATTGTCTCGATTTCTATCTCTTTCTCTCTTTCTTATATTAATTCCAAATTGATTTTTCACCATGAGATAATATCGAAATATGCAGATCAAGCGCGTTCGGCTATCGAAGGATCAATCTATCGCGGTGAAGGGTTGCGTATAAGGACTCGGACCTGGTGTTCTCATAGGTTTGAAGGTTTAATTATATGCATATCGTCGCTCTGTGTGGATCAGTCAATAATAATTCAGTGATGCCTTCGGCGAGGATCAACCGCGAATTGTTCTATCCCTCTTTCTCTCTCTCGCTCCGAACTCGTTTCAACGGGGACAAAACTTTGTCCGGTCTACATGTAGTAGATAGGTATAACCCCGGCGTACAACCACCATTGTGATCGTATTAACACCTCGCATAATTGCACCGTCGCGTTTCTCTCGTCGCGCGTGCACTAAACACGGCTCATTTGAATATTGGCCCATTCATACTATTGGGAAGGCTAATAATCGCGCTCTTAAAAGCGAGACACCACCGTCGCCGATCAATTTCGGTTGCCGCTATTCTCCAAATGTCATTTTGGACGATGCTTTCTCAGGCTGTCACAACGAACAATTTTGCAAGTGTGAATCGCGAAATCATCGATGCCAGCTCGTTTTTAAATGCACTTTGTTAATATTTCTTTTGTGTTTAGAATAAAATATTTGTATAGAGCTGGTTCTAAGAATGTACAATTTATGTGTGATAGGATCCGATCTCTATAAGAACCATAATGCTAAATTCTTCTAACATTTTCTATATTGATAGCTAAACGCAGATTTTCTAATTAATAAAAATTTATTTGTAATTGTAAATATTTTAAGAGAAGATAGTTGAATTATCTTTTCTCTGTTAATTACAAAGATATAACAAGCTTAATTGATAGGAATGACAAATTTTCCACTGTGAAAGGAAAATAAATTTATATAATAAGATTAGATTAACTTGGGCTATTATACAAAAGTGCATTAAAAATAATTAATGACACATTTATGTATACTTTTTGAATTTGTCAATTTTGACATCAGATTCATATTTAACAATCTAAGAAATCCTTAATTTTAAATAAACATAATTGAAAACTATTTGCTAGATCATCAATGATTCAATTCACAACTTTTTCACAATAATTTTTATATTTAATTATATATATTTTATTGATTTTAACCGTCGAAAAAGGACAAAAGAGAATCATTTTTAAATCAAAGAAACGTTCGCAATATTTTATCCGTGTTTGGCGAAATTGAAAAATTGCCCCGCCACCCCTCGTTATACTACTAAGCGCCCTTCTTTCCCCTGTGAATAAATCCACCCCCGCGTTTACCGTCGAGGTGACGACAAGCGATAGTGGGTGGGGACGAATAAAATCTCTACGGGGTAGAGTTCCAGGGGTTGCATCTCAGCCGATAAAACCCTCGCTGGAGTGCTCGCCCACCAATCCCGTGCGCGTTTGATAATCGCACCCCATACTCGTCTCGGCTCACTATTGGCTAGAAACCCGCCCAGGGGTTGGTATCGATCATCCCTCGTGCTACCCCGATGCTTTTCATATATAAAGCGGTCTCCCCAGGGACATCACCGATAGTCTAAATCCGTGTATTCTCCGTACTGATATTCTCATTCGAGCTATCGATCGATTGATCGGTCGTGGCAAGATCGACAAGAAAATCAAAATTCAAAAAATTGGCGTGTGAAAAAATTGCAATACTCAAAAAAAAAAAAAAAAAAAAATTGATAAAAGCGAAAGTTTATATTTAGTGGGGTTGCTCGTTGATTCGTGATATTCCCAATTTGCGGGAATACTGACGACGAATGAAATTGTGAAGACGCGTATATTATGGCGAATCATCATCCCGCATACGATTTCGAGGATAAGAGCCAAAGAATACGCCACCGGGTTGGCACCACGTCGAGAATCGCAGATTCTACTGTAGCATGCACCAGGTACTAGTTTCACCCTTTCCTTCTCAGATAATAATTAGACACGTGTCAAAAAAACTTGTCTTTATTTAATATAAAATTTAAAAAAGCATTGATTTTTATATAATTAATCTCAACAAAGTGTGTGCGTGAATCTGATGAATAAGTGTGCATGTGTGTGTGTGCGTGCCTGTATGTCTGCATACATGTGGGTCTGGGTATAATCTTTAATATTTTATATCTCTGGTAATTTATTCTGATATATTCTGATACTTTCCCAATTTATAATTTTCAATAATCAGAGAAAAGATTATAATGTTCAATAATCAAATATTAATGATATTATCGACTTTAAAGATGATCCACATCAAACGAACATAATAGATTATAAAATGTTGAATTTCTAATAAAAAAAAATACAATAGTAAAATCGTCATTACTCCTCTCTCTGTACTAACACTTTACTGAGATTAATTGAAAAATTAATCAGATTTTGATAATACAACATTTCTATTTTTCCAAAAATATATTGAAAATATTATATATATTACTACTTTATATTTTATACTTTACTTCATTTTAATCACACGCATATATTTTCATACTTATTGTTAGCCTTATTTTATGTAAAAGGAAAAGAAAGTTTTTGTTGTACTATTATTGCCGCATAATAAACAAATA